GGATACTAGGGAGACATGATGACTGAAAGCAATGTGGTATCCTGATGGGCACATCAAAAAAAGCAAGCAAAAATCCAGTACAGTGGCACAAGGAGCTTTAGATAGAACTTATGCCAAGATCAGTGCTAACGGCAAGTGAGAAACAAAAATTTTGTTAGTTGTCCTGAGGTCTTGAAAAATATCGATATCCTTATCCATCTGTTTTTTTTTTCCTTGCAAGACCAAAGCTTTAGAAGGGCTAGTGCAGGGTCTGAGAAAACCCATATAGTTGAAGGATATAAGGACTTCAACTATAGCTTGGAGCCCTTGCTTTGCTTCTGACTTTAAGGGATATTGGGGTGTTTGGTCAACAGTTTGATAGGATCTATCTACTTGCTCGGTTCTACCACAATTATTTTTTTTCCCGTGCCAGTGGACTTTGAAGGTCATAAATGTCAGGTTCAATGTTAAGACCATCATCTGGGTATGTATCGAATATAACGGGGAAGGCAAAGGTATAACAGGGCAGACACATCTTGGTTATGAATAGAAAACTTCTCTGGAACTTTAAGAAGTAGTTCCTCTGTTGAGCATTTAATATTACAATTCCACTTGCAGAGTAAGTCTCTCTTTATTAAATTTGCAGGGGTGAAGACCCATAGAGTAGGAAGAAATGTTTCTCATTCAAGAGCCCAAGGGTTATAGTTAAGAGCTGGGAGATAGGAAAAATATGTGGGTGATTTGAAAGATAGGAAGAGGTAGAGCAAAGATGAGAGGTTTAATGTAGTAAGAGGAGCACCCTTACCTACCAGGAATTGATGAGTGTCACCATTTATATTTGTTGAACTTGAGTGTTTAGGGTAAAACTCAGAGTACTGGGAGTTTTTTCCTTCTCCAGAGCACCTACATTGATCAGAATTGAGGGCTTTTCTTTGTCTTGGTTTTTCTAAAACTGGACATTCTTTTTTCCAGTGTCCCTTCTGTTTACACTATCTATGCTACCCTTGTAAAAAATGGTGGCTTGGGAAGTGGGCCACCTTAAGCTTTTGATCTGCAAGATCACAGTTTATTTTGGATTATTCTCACTTTCATTCCAAACCCCTTTCAAAATGTTCCGACAGGTGTTTTAGTTCAGGCAAAGATGCTATGGGTTACCCTGACAAAGTTTGTCCAAATGAATGCCAATCCGGAGAGAACTGCAAACTCATTGGTCTCTAAGGCCGCTCTGGCAACAGGCTTAAAGGGCCTGCGCCTGTATTCCACCCTGTGATTCCGCTTCCTACGACAAACCACAGTTGTAGGCAGCATGATACAAAACAGAAGTACAAAAGGGAGCCAACCAGGGTGAAAAGGAATAGAATGATTCCACCAAGGATGCCTAACAAATGGGAACCAATAACAAAACCAGGGCACCAACTTTAGAATAAATAGCTGAGCAACTCAATGCAAAGACAGCAGAGTTCATATCCAGCATTGACATACCACAGACTCGACAAGCCACAAGCAGCCAAGGTGCAAGGGGCCTCTGTGGGTACCTTCTCTGGTGGAAGGCTGGACATGCAGACCATATCTCCATGGAGTCTTCCAGAAAAACTGTGGAAATAAACAGAGACCACCCTAATAACTAACATATTTTTAGAGCTTTCTAGAGCAAGGGAGAAAGTCACTATATTTGCATTGGGAAGACTCAAAGGCAGGCAGGGGAGTGGGAAAGCTTTATGGTAAAAGAATGAGGAAAAGTTCAGGTGTGCTCTGGTTGGAGATTATAGGCAAGGAGAAGATGGAGTTTGGTTAAAGAAATGAGCATAGTATGTCACTGGTTGCGGGAGCATATTTGGCTTTCTCTAGTTGGTTCTGAGGTGGAAGCAGGTGAAAAAGTTGGGAAACTGGCAGTCATGGACCGTGTTCTAATTGTTCTGGGCAGATTCCTGCAGGATTTTTTAAAAATATATATTTTATTGACTTTTCTACAAAGAGGAAGGGAGAGGAAGAGAGAGTCAGAAACATCAACAAGGGAGAAACATCAATCAGCTGCCTGGTGCACACCCCTTATTGGGGATGTGCCAGCAATCCAGGCACATGCCCTTGACTGGAATTGAACCTGGGACCTTTGAGTCCGCAGACCAATGCTTTATCCACTGAGCCAACCTGGTTAGGGCTGCAGGGGTTTTGGTTTGACTTCTTGGACTACTTGCTGCTGAGGGTGTGGGTTGGGGTTCTCATCGAGCCCTTGTCCATTGGTAAAATCAGTCTATCAAGGTGAAGCTATCATTGAGCAGTTAGATTTCATTTAATCATCATAACTATCTCCTCCAGGTCCCTCTTGTACAGACAAGGAAAAGCAAAGCTCAAGGGACTATGAATTGTGTATCCAAAGCCATACAACTAGTGACAACAAGCAAAATTCAGACCTACAAACGTTGGACCTTTTTTTAAGGTCAATCTTGTAGAGACCATAAAATTATTCTGATGCTGCCCTATCTGTTAGAAATGTAGGCACTCAAAATTTCTCATTGTATGAATGAATGGATGACAATAATTTTGGAACACTTCTTTTGAAATTGTCTCCACAGCCTGCATTAAAAAAACAAAAACCTTTCTTACACAAACCTTTGCAGCAACCTGGATGGAATTGGAGAACATTATGCTGAGTGAAATAAGCCAGTCAATGAACATTATGCTGAGTGAAATAAGCCACGTGATCTCACTCATTTATGGATAATAAAGAACATTATAAACTGATGAACAAAAAGATACAGAGACAGGAAAGCATCAAACAAACTGTCAAATTACAGCGGGAAGGTTAGGGAGATGTGGAGGAGATAAGAGATCAACCAAAGGACTCGTATGCATGCATAAAAGCATAACCAATGGACACAAAACTCTGGAGGGTGAGAGCATGTATAGGAGTGTGGGGGGGGCAATGGTAAGATATGTACACATATAACACCTTGATTAAAAAACGGAAAAAAAAGTAATCCTCCAATGATGGCATGTTTTGATGGATTTAGATTTTGGAAACAAACATTTTTCCAAATTAAGACTGGCTAATAATGGTAGAGAACCTGCTGGCTCAAAGCCTGGTGTGTACATTCAGGTAATGAGATGGATCTTGGGCCTTTTGCATATCCTGGATGTGATCTACAAAACAGCTTTAAAGGCTTTTCCAAAAGAAAAGTTGTAAAAATAGTTGCATTTTGGAAATTAGTTCTCGACTTTTCCAAAGTTTGGAGGCCAATGCTTTTTTTTTTTTTTTTTTTTTTTTTTTTTTTTTTTTTTTTTTTTTAAATAAGCTAACTCATTATTTTTACAATTTAGCTTTCTGTGTAGTTTTACAGTTCTCAAACTGTCTACATCATTCAACAAATATTTGTTGAACATCTATTATGTGTTCAGTGTGTGCTTTGAACATGGATATGAAATACAGGTCTGTACACTAGGAGCTCTAAGTGTAGTTAGGGCAGACAGAATGTTAACAACTGAAATGCCATTGTGTAAGTACCATGGCTGATAAATGGCAGGGTGCCCTGGGAACATGCAGTAAGTGAGTTGGTACATGTTAAATCGCTGACCCCTGACGGGGAGGGGATAGTGAGACAAGGGCCTGATTTTCAGCATTTGCTGGTTTCCATGGTGTAAATACTCCTCCCATTTCAAGCTACCAACATGATGCCATTTATATCCATTATATCCCATTTCCCCTATACAGACACAATCGATGCAAATAACGTCAAAAGCATAGATAATAGTAAAATATAGTAAAACAATTGGGAAGTGATGAGTTTGAGCATTTGTTACTTTTGCTTTTAATACAGTTAACTTAATTATAAATTTATCTAATTTATTGTTAAAGAACAGCCACATTTACCTAAAAACAAAATTACTGAACATTTAACAATCAGCTCTTGCAAGCAAGTAGGAACCAGTGCAAATGTCTAGCAAGCCCCCGGGACAAAAGCTATGTCTGGAATTACTGTTGATTCACCTGAAGGGAAGATGGGATCCTGCCTTTTCATTTCTGTATCCATGGCACCTAGCAGTAGGCTGTTGAATGGTCAACGTAAATCATTAATACAAATTTAAAAAAATTAGCCCCTACTATATTCTGGGCACTATTCTAGGAGCCTGGGGATGGGGGTGGGTGGGTATGGCAGTAAAAATCAAGCCCCTGCCTTTAGAGAGTTTACATTCCCGTGTGTGTGTGTGTGTGTGTGTGTGTGTGTGTGTGTGTGTAAAACGCCACATGTCTGTCATGTAAGGCGGCGGGGAGTAGGGTTAAAACTTTTGTAGTGAAAAGGTGAAAAGGAGTGAGGATTGCCTTTCACAAAGGTTGTGAGACATATAAATGTTGAATGAAATGTCCTGGAATCTGGGAAACACGGTCTAAAGCAGCGGTTGGCAAACTCATTAGTCAACAGAGCCAAATATCAACAGTACAACGATTGAAATTTCTTCTGAGAACCACATTTTTTAAAACTTAAACTTCTTCTAACGCCACTTCTTCAACATAGACTCGCCCAGGCCGTGGAATTTTGTGGAAGAGCCACACTCCAGCGGCCAAAGAGCCGCATGTGGCTCGCGAGCCGCGGTTTGCCGACCACTGGTCTAAGGAAGGCTGAAGCACAGACTTCGTGCAAACCTCACCATTTCAACAGGGCTAGGACACAGGGTAACGCAGGAAATTTCTTCTTTCACCCCACGCGGCTGCCCTTCACTTTCCTCAGCCTTTCACTCAAGTGCAAAGTCAAGTCCGTCTGAGAAAGCCGAAGGGTTAAGCTGGCCAATCAGAGGCGGCGAGGCGGGGCTCATGTTTCAGTACCCGCCGGAGCCCGCTGCGCATGCTCCAGATTCATCTGTTTCGGGCACACTATTCTGGGGCGCTTTGCGCATGTGCAAGAACGAGACGGGGAAGTTTGGCCCTAGGGGTTGCCGTACCGTCCGGGCGGCGAGTGGCGTCCCGGGTTGCTCGGGTGTTTGCCCCGGTGTCAACTGTTCTAACGCCACTGTTGCCACCGCCTAGTATGAACCCGGAGAGTTTCGCGGCCGGTGAGAGGCTGGTGTCGCCGACCTACGTGCGGCAGGGCTGTGAGGCTCGCCGCACGCACGAGCACCTCATCCGGCTGCTTCTGGAGCAGGTACCGAGAGGACGGGCAGCTGCGCCCCCGCGACAGCCGCGTCCAGCTTCCCCCGCTTCGGTTCGCCGGCCGGAGCCGCCGCCCCCCCCCCCCCCCCCCCCCGGTCTGTACAGCTGGGCGGGCGCTGCGCCCACTGGCTGCGCCCACTGGCTGCGCCCCGCCCCGTCTCCACCTCGCCGCGCCCCCAAACCGGACAGTGTATGAGGGCGCGTGTGGGGTCGCGATTTTGAGTCCCGTTGAGTGTAACGTGGGGGAAGGGAGTGAAAGTCCCAGTTGGTTTCCTTTTTTTTGTTTTGTTTTGTTTGCGGAAAGAGCAAAGTTCGCACCTCCCTCCTTCCACTCTTCCCGAGAACTCGGGGAACACGTGTTCATAAATCACGGTGTACATACCAAGTGCTGCCTCGGAACATCACCCGGCACGGCATCTCCGAATGTTAATTTCACTCACGTTTGGCAAACCTGTAGCTTTCGCAGACTGGTTTGAAGAATCTTCGTTGAAGATAAGGTTTTCAGTAACCTTAACTTACTACAACTTTAAACCCGAGTAAATCTCATCGCATTTATTTATTCATGTATTCATTCATTCATTCATTCATTCATTCCTTCCTTCCTTCCTTCTCGAATCTAGATAGTTGTAGTGTAACAAAACCTTCTTCTTAGTTGGGGTTTCTTCATCGTGCTGAATTTCTGTCTGAATTTTAGATAGCAAGAAACATGGCAAAATAACACACTAAAAGGGTTTAAAATGCATCGAGGTGCGTTCTAAGGAACGACGAGACCACCTTAAATATAATCAAGTCATAATTCAATATAATGATGTGTTTTTTGTTTTAAGGGCAAATGTCCAGAGGATGGTTGGGATGAAAGTACACTTGAACTCTTCCTGCATGAACTGGCTATCATGGATAGCAACAATTTCCTGGGCAACTGTGGTGTGGGAGAAAGGGAAGGGAGAGTGGCTTCCGCTTTAGTTGCTCGGCGTCATTACAGGTACATTTTTTCAAATAGCATTCTTTCCTTGCTTTTTTTTTTTTCCTCTAAAAACAATGGTGGCAGTATTCATCATATTAGATTACAGAATGTCTGTTTGGAACCTATTTCTTTCCTATTCAAATGGGCATCTAAACTTAGATGCAACAACTTAATCTGAGAAGGTGCTTTTCAAGACAGCAGGGTAAAAGTTCTTGTCAGGTTCTGGGTAGTTAATACTAGCTATACGTTCGGTTAAGAACAATTAACCTAATAAACCCATTATTTGTATGAGTTTAAAATATCAAGGTTTGTTATGATTTTCCATGTTTCTTTTCTACAGTTGCAAGTTTTTTTTTTAGAGAATGATATATAGATACAACTATAAATCATTGTTTATCTGCATCTGAACTAAATCCCATTTTATAAGCACCTTTTTGCAATAGATGTAGGAAAGGGTATATTAAATTTACTATTAGATTATTAAGTTACTCTTACATTTTTTCAAAAAGTTTTTCATCAGTTCTGATGACCATTTAATTGACAGTGATTTCAAATATAATCATTTCTTTCTTCTACCTTTCTGTGAAATGTAGGTAAACTCTAAAATGAAAACTCCTGTCTTCCATGATTTAAGATTTTACTGAAGTTTGACAACCCCTAGGTTTAACAGTCTGGTTTGAATAATCTTAGTTGAAGAAAAGTTCCATGATGACATTTTCTATCCCATAGTTGAATTTTATTTCAATCAAAACCATCAAACTTCTAATTGAATCAAAAGGTTCGAACTTCACCCTGACTGATTTGTCTCATTGGATAGTGCATTGACCTACAGACTGAAGGGTCCTAGGTTCGATTCCGGATAAGGGCATGTACGTTGGTTTTGGCACATCCCCAGTAGGGAGTGCGCAAGAGTCAGCTGATTGATGTTTCTCTCTCATTGATGTTTCTAACTCTATCCCTCTCCTTTCCTCTCTGTAAAAAATCAATAAAATATTTTTTAAAAAGGTTCAAACTTCAAGTTAAAAAAATAAATACGTAAGTCACGGGATTTAATGTATAGCATGTTGCCTCTAATTACTAATACTGTTTTGTATATTTGAAAGATCTAAGAGAGTAGATCTTAAAAGTTCTTGTCACAAGAAAAATTTGTTGCTGTGTGTGATGATGGACGTGAACTAGACTTGTGGTGATCATTTTACAATATATACATGTATTGAATCATTATTTTGTATACCTGAAACTAATATGTTATATGTCAATTATATGTGTTAGTTAAAAGAAAAACCTAATTGCAGCTAAAACTACTGATAACGAATGTATAACTTGGGTAAAAAATTCATGTTAAAAATGGGCTGATAACAGTTATTTTCTGTAAAAAATACTTTGTACATGAAGTTTCAGTGGTAATGAAGCGTGGCACTAGTGTTTTGTGATAATTCCAGGATGCAGAATTTCTGATCTATTTAACTGTAAATTACAAATAGATTTTTGATTTTGAAGAATATCCAGAGGTCTTTTAAACAATGTATGACATCTAATTTAAAATGACTGGATGAGCACATGCATTTTTAAAGAATTGATTAAGGCAATATTTGAAATATCAACTCATCCCCATTGGAACTTAGTCCCCTACTCTGATTAGGGAAAAAGGAAATAAAGAAGAGAATTTAATGCTGCAGATATTTTGCTTTTCTACCGTTGCACAACAAACCTCAAAAACAAAGTGGCTTGAAACAGTCATTTATCATCTCCTAGTTCTGTGGGTGAACTGGGCTCAGCAGGGTGATGATTGCTTTGGGTTTCGCATGTAGTTGCAGTCGGATGGTGGCTGAGCATTTAGTCATCTGAAGGTTCAACTGGGCAGTTGATCCAAGTTGGCGCACTTAGGTTGCTGGGAGTTCGGTTGCCCTCTCTGTGTGGCTTTGGCTTCTCCCAGGAGGGATTATAAGAGGGAGTCCTCAAGAACAAGCCTTTCAAGAGCCTGGGTAGGAAACTTTAAGGCTTCTTATGCTCTAACTCAGAAGTTCTAGATCATCACTTCTGCTAATTTCTTTCTGGCCCAGCAAGTCTGTAAGGCCTGACCAGATTCAAGCGGAGGGAATTAGACTCCATCTCTTGGTGTGGCAGTACCATGTGGGTATAGGGAGAAAAGGAAGTAATGGTGGCCAGCTTTGGAGACTAGATACCAGAGAAAAATTGATGAATTTGTTTAAACTTAATAGGATATTTTCATATTATAAATAGTTTATGCAATATATCTACAATAGTCAAGTATTGCTCCTGGTATTTTATTTTTTATTTTTGGTGATTGCATTTGTATACTTATACAGTAGATTACTTAGAACACTGAGTATTTTTGTCCAATTGTTGGCCCATCTTTTGCTTAGGTTCATTCATGGAATTGGACGATCGGGTGATATTTCTGCTGTGCAACCAAAAGCTGCAGGTTCTAGCCTTTTGAACAAAATTGCCAATTCTTTGGTCCTGGACATCATAAAGATGGCTGGTATGTACTGTGTTAATCGTAATACTTTTGTCTGACCAGCTACACATGCTGAGCAGCCACACATGCCTTTGCCTAGTTTTCTATTAATGTCTCAAAGAGGATAAAAGTGATTTTTGAGAAGATGTATCTATCTTTATATATAAAAGACTAAGCGAACATCCCAACTGGCTGGTAGGTATGATCTACACTGACCAGCAGGGGGCAGATGTTCACCGCAGGAGCTGCCGAGTTGCAGTGACTTGGCAGCAGCACCCCAGAACCAGAGAGGAGGGACCCCGATTCCTCACAGGGCCATGTGATTCCACCTTTGGCCGTGGGTTATGTTGTTGTTGGAGTACTTTTGGCCCCGAACCTGGTGTATTGCACATTTGTGTTTGCATCCCAATCCTGTACAATAGCAACTTTGCGGAGTGCCCTCTTGCACTCTGGGACCCCTTGGGGGATGCCAGAGATCCAGTTTGGCCTGTTACCAGCAGGCAAGGCCAAGGGACTCCACCTGCCAGAGGGACCCTGCTTACTCTGCAGATGCCCTTCGAGCCATGGCGCCACCCCAGGTGCAGCTGGCTGGGGTGGGACCACGGGAGGTTGGCTCCAGGGAATGTTTGGCCCATCTCACCCAGTCCCACCCATCAGCCACCTTCTAATTAATTTCCTTTTGATGTACACAAATCTGTGCACCAGGTTTGTAGTGTACATATAAAAACCTTTAGAATAAGATAGAAAATCAGATCATAAGCATGAAGGATGAAATTGACAGGTTCCTGAGAGTGAGTACAGAAGAAGCAGCAGTAAATCTACAACTTTTATTATTTGCTAGAAGAATATAATTCCTTCAAGAAGAAAGCTGGTTTTTCAATGAAATAACTAATTTCTGTTTTACTTCTTATTCCTAGGTGTCCATTCAGTGACCAACTGCTTTGTAGTACCTATGGCAACTGGTATGAGTCTAACTCTGTGTTTCCTAACATTACGACACAAAAGACCAAAGGCAAAGTATATTATATGGCCTCGAATAGACCAGAAGTCCTGCTTTAAATCCATGATCACTGCAGGTAAAAGAGTGTTGTATATAATGTATTCAGTATCACAAACATTTCAAACTTTTTGTGTAAAGATATATAAATGAAAAGAAACTAAACATTTCTTTTTACTGTGATAAAATATACATAAAATTACCATTTTAACCATTTTAAAATGTACAGTTCCATGACATTAAGTACATTCACATTGTTGTGCAACTATAATTACCATTTATCTCCAGAACTTTTTCATTCTTTTAAACTAAAATTCTGCCCATTAAACAGTAACTGCCCCTTCCCGCTGCTCCCAGTCCCTAGCAATCATCATTCTCCTTTCTGTCTCTATGAATTTGACCATTCTAGAATATTTTCCCTTTGTGACTGGCTTATTTTACTTAACGTCTTTAAGCTTTAATCCATGGTATACTACCTGTCAATTTCTTTCCGTTTTAAAGACTGACTGACATTCCGTTCTCTGTGTGTGTGTGTATGTATGTATGCTTGTGCATGTGCGCGCGCACGTGTGTGTGTGTGTGTGTGTGTGTGTGTGTGTGTGTGTGTGTGAAGTTGAATTTGAGAATTTAACGTTATTTTTGAATGACTTCAGAATGTTGTGTGAAATGAACAGTATTGGGCTATAATTGAACTGCATAAATAATAAAGAAACTCATATAAAAGGACTTATAATAAGGACATATAGCCGAAATTGATAGACTTTAAAAAATACACTGATTTATTTTAAATGGTATAAAGTTATTAAGTCTTAATTTGCATTCTATTAACCAAAGAATTGATAGCCACATTCTTTTTTTAAAAAAATATATTTTATTGATTTTTTACAGAGAGGAGGAGAGAGGGATAGAGAGCTACAATAGAAACGTCGAAGAGAGAGAAACATCGGCCAGCTGCCTCTTGCACACCCCTTACCGGGGATGTGCCCGCAACCAATGTACATGCCCTTGACCGGAATCGAACCTGGGACCTTTCAGTCCGCAGACCGACGCTCTACCACTGAGCCAAACCAGTTCTGACGATAACCACATTCTTGGAATTTGGAAAAGATTGCCTTATTGAAAACTATTTTCTAAAAGATGTTGGCCTACAATTTACAGTTTATTCTTTTTCAAGATAGCCCCTATTCTTAGGAAGCAAGATCATTGTATTAGTAAAAAAAAAAAAAACCAAAAAACCCACAACTTGTATTTTAATTGCTTGAAAGCAATATAGGGTTAGGTCTAGAGAATTTGAGAAACAGTAAAAATAAGCTGTTTTCAGGAAGTTACTTATTTAAGTAAAGTTCATATATTTGTTTTAATAGCTATGAAGGTACAGATTTAAAAAACCTGGATACCTCTGAACCACATATTTGAAATGATAATTTTATAGCGACTAAGGTTTCTGTGGATAGAATGCAGACAACTTGGTGTGGATTCTAAAACTCAAAACTACTTGCTCTTAACTTTGCTCTAACTTGCTGTGTGACCTTGGGGAGACGACTTAATCTTCCTGAACTTTGGCTCTCTTATCTTTGAAATGAGTGAGTTGAGCTAAATGATTTCTAAATCCTTTAGGCTTTTAAATCCATGAGTCTAGCCTGCTGCTAGATTTGGTATTTGGGAAGACTGAAGATGAGACTGCATAATAACTTTATGTGCAAAATTTCCTAGGTTTATTTTCTATCCAATTTCTGAGACTTTTAGGTTTTATTTTTACCATAGGCTTTGCTTAGTTAGGCATTTACTAGTATCACAAGGACATCTATAATAATAAAAGGGAAAAATGCTAATTAGACCGGACATTATGCTGGACATCCTTCTTGACAAAGCGAGGGAAGCTGGCCAGGGTCCTGGTTGCCTGTGGGCAGCAGGAAGAGGGAAGCAGCCTGGGTCCTGGGTGCTTGCAGGCGGCTGGAGGAGGGAAGCAGCCCAGGGCTCGGGTTCCAGGTGCCGGAGGGAAACCAGTGCTGGAGGGAAGCCCGTGCCGGTAGCTGGGGGAAGGAAGGCCTACTGCACAATTTTTCATGGCATGAATCAGGCCTCTAGTAGTTATATAAGTGCTTTGTACATTATTTAGAGTATATGTTGCTTATACAACTTTTTAAGTTTATGGACACCTAAATATTTACTCTATAAGGTTATATATAATAGTTATTATTTGGAGTGACCTTTGATCACATGCTAGTTAGGTGTAATTCAATTGAAAACAGTTTTTTAAAAAATAGATTTTTATTGATTTTAGAGAGAGAAAGGGAGAGGGAGAGAGAGACACATCAATGAGAGAGAAACATCAGTTAGCTGCCTCCTTCACGTCCCTCCACCTGGGATTGAGCCTGCAACCCAGGCATGTGCCATGACTGGGAATATAACTGGTGACCTCTTGGTGTATGGGACAACGCTTAACTAACTGAGCCACAACAACCAGGACAAAAAACAATTTTTATATTTAGGTTATAGAAGGCCCTTCTTCATTGATGGTTTTGCTATCTAGAAAAACGAAATGAGTCACTGATCCCGAGGCTACTAAAATGCATTACCTTTTTCTTTAGAGCTAAAATATTAAGTTGATGATTGTGATTTGTTTTAATACTTGAGTTATTATTTTTATTCATATCTGAAATGAAGTGAACTTTAAAATAAAACATAGGCATTGTCAGAGAATGTGTAGATTTATTTTTCTATGGACTAGTGATCATTTTTGTCATCATTGGCTGTTACTACTTTTATAGGTATATATTTAACATATGTTCTCCTTTCCAAAATTAATCTCTTTTGTCATATCAAAGTGCTAAATAGATTTGTGGTCCTAATTGTGGGCTAGTGGTCATGCACATTATTTTGACCTGCCTTTGACTCATTCCAGTGGTGAGCCAGGTGTTTATTGCTAGAGGAGGGCTCATTGACCAAAGTAAGTATTTAGAGTTCTTTTGTCGAATAGCGCTACTTCCTAGAGTTTCAGGGTCTTCTCTTATTTCAGTTTACACTAATATTTTGATTTTTGATTTGGTTGGTTAGGTTTTGAGCCTGTAGTGATAGAGAATGTTTTAGAAGGTGATGAGCTGCGCACAGACCTAAAAGCAGTAGAAGCTAAAATCCAGGAACTTGGGTCTGATAACGTGCTGTGTGTTCATTCTACTACATCCTGTTTTGCTCCAAGGGTACCTGACAGGTAAATGATTTGTGAATATTGTCCTTCAGGTATTCATCAGTCTTTTATGTATTTATTTATTTTAAATATATTGTTTATTGATTTCTGAGAAGAAGGGAGAGGGAGAGAGAGAGAGAAACATCAATGATGAGAGAGAATTGATCGGTTGCCTCCTGCCCACCCCCATTAGGGACCGAGCCCGCAACCTGGGCATGTGCCCTTGGCTGGAATCAAATCTGGGACCCTTCAAGTCTACAGGCCGACACTTTATCCACTGAGCCAAACTGGCTAGGATTTCATCAGTCTTTTAAATAAAAAATTTACACTAATTTTCAAAGATGCTTAAGTAACATTTGGCAGTAAATAGGTGAATGGACTGTCCCAAGAGAATTGATTGATCTTGCTGAGATACAGTATCATCTCTTGAGAAAATAAAAATTTAATATAGAGGAAGAATAAGCAATTAGTACCAAGTGGAGTTTCATTTCTCACCCACGTTGATGCAGAGCATCTGTTTTCTTGCTCTTTTTTCTGTTTTTAATTTCTTGGCATCTTTTTCCTCATTATGTAATAGAAGTTTCTAAACAAAACAGTGAGTTTACTTGTTTTCATTGTTATCTCCACTCCTTTGATCTAACAGTTCTCCTATGTAGGAACTATCATTAGTAACAGAAAATTTTAGAATTATTTGTTGCCCTTTGAATATTTTTTAATTGGGAGATTAATCCAGATGTACTCTTGAGTATATATAGTGGTTGCCTTTGCATTCTGAGAAAAATACAAATGTTTAAGAAAATAAAAGCAAAGGGGAAAAAAAGCAAATGTTTACTTTTCTAAAGGATGGCCACAAATTTTTTATTTGCAAATGTAATATGCTTAGTTATAGGAATACACATTTTTAGTTTTTGTTTCATTTTAACATTTTGATAGAAATGCTATTAATTTATAAAAATTTTGACTTTGTACTATTTTTGGAGCACCAAGTTATACTTTGGTTTCCATGGTATTATGTAATTTGGCAGTAATGAATGCATTTTGGCTTTTACTATCTAATATGTGGACTTTAAGAGACAATTTTAAAACCATGCTCTTAAAAATTTGCCTTGCTCCAATCATGAGTCTGTAAATTTTATTTTAAGATTATATTGCAAAGAATACAAGAATTAATAATAATAAAAGGATAAACTGTTTCACGAACTCACAATTATAAACCTAGTTTTGCCCCACCTTGTATTGTATATACTTTTTTATTACTTACCAATCATATTTTAAATTTACATTGAAATTTTAAGCATCTCTCTTCTTCATTGATGGTTTTGCTATCTAGAAAAGTTTTAATGTGGTAGAAATAAATCACATTTCCAAAAACAGCATATGGATATTTGTTAGATTATTTATCCTTGAGGATAATATTATTTTTTGTCTCATCTGGACTAACTCTTTTTGGATATTTACTGTATGCCTGATGCAGTATTAAGTATTTTACATATATGAAGTTTTTTATCAGTAAAATTCTCATATACCACTTTTTAATGGTATTATATGGTGAGTGTTTCTTACAAGAGTGAACCTTAGGAAAGTGGTGATGCATTGTTATTAGTAATATGTTTGAATTTCTGATTTTATTAAAACATTTTGATGTCTTTACATTAAGCTTAATTTTTTTGTAGCCTTAATTTGGATGGGTAGATACTGTCTTTATTAGTTCATTAATTGGACAGAAAGCATTGTGGTGCCAGACCCTGGACTAGGTTAGGGAACTAGGGGTGGGTGGTGGTAAATGCAGCCCCTTTCCCATAGAGGCTGAGTGCCGGCTTCCTCTTTGGGGCTGGTAGCCATCCTCCTGCACCCGGTCACTCCCCCTGTTGCTTCCCTCAGCTGGCAGGCCCCAGTCGGCCTGGCACCAATTGGCCCTGATCTCCGGCGAGGCCTAGGGACCTCATCCGTGCACAAATTTTGTACACTGAGCTTTAGTTACTAGGTGTACCTGTTAATAATGCATATTTTGTAATCAAATAAAACACGATAATTTTAAGAGAAACATCAAAATTGCTTTATTCAAAGTAATGTTCATTGCTAGCTATACATTTCCCCCATCTGTAGGTAATTTTGGACATCTTTCCCAATAGAACTTTTCTTGTTTTGAGGCAAACCATTCAGAGACCCAATTTTCCACTTCATCGTGCGTTTTGAAGTGCTGCTCAGAAAGCGCGTGTGCTATGAATCGGAACAAGTGGTAATCTGAAGGAATAAGGTCTGATGAATACGGCTGGTGGGTTAACACTTCCCAGGCAAGATCTTTTAACGTTTCTTTAACTAGTTTTGAAGTGTGTGATGGTGCATCATCATGAAGCAAATTTACTTTGCCGTGTCTTCTGGCACGTTCTGGTCAGTTCACAATCAAAGCGTGGTTCAAATTGATTATTTGTTGTCGGTAGTGATCAGTATTAATGGTTTCACCTGGTTTTAGAAGCTCATAATACACCACACCTTCCTGATCCCACCAAACACAGAGCATTGTCTTCTTTCCGAAGCGATTTGGCCTTGCAGTCGATGTTGATGGTTGACCTGGATTAACTCATGATTTTGTGCATTTGGGCTTCTCAAAATGAATCCACTTTTCATTGTCAGTCACCATTAGATGCAAAAAAGACTTTCTTTTATGCAATTGAAGCAACATTTTACTGATGACTTTTCGGTTTTCCATTAGTTTTTCATTCAGTTGATGTGGCACCCATTTTTCTTCCTTTAAAATCTTTCCCATTGCTTGTAAAAGGGAATTGTTTGCTGAACAAAGTTTAATCTTTCTGCAAGTTGTTTTTGAGTTTGTCAAGCATCTTCATTCAATGATGCTTGTAATTGTTGGTCTTCATGTGTTTTTGGTTGACCTGGACATTATCTTTCACATCGAAATCATCACTTTTAAAACGTTTAAACCAGCATTCTTGAGATGGAGCATATTCACCCGAAGTATACAATAGCATAACTTTCAGCAGCATGTTTCTTTAAAATAAAGTAATGAATTAAAACTTACCACAAATGCTCTTTTTTTGGCATGAAATTCGACATTTTTAAGCATAAAGATATCTATGATGTTAACACCTTCAGCAAATTTGACATGAAATTTTGAAGCTCACTGTCAATACAACAAAATAGCATACATATCAAATTGCATATATATCAACATATGTGTAACTCCATCTATTGAAAAAAAAAATCCTCATTATTAACTGGTACATCTAGTAAATGCTAAAATATTGCTGTAGAAATTTCATTTTTGTCATCTTTTCCTCATGTGCATTAACAATAACTATTATATTACTTCTCACACTGTAATTTATAAAAGCATAATATGAATGTGTCTTTCTATTGAATATTGATGTTTGTAGATTAGAAGAACTGGCTCTTATTTGTGCTTCTTATGGTGTTCCACATATAGTCAACAATGCTTATGGATTGCAGTCTTCAAAGTGTATGCACCTCATTCAGCAGGTAAGAGAATTTTAAAAATATGTCAAGGAAAGAAATGGATTTTAACATATATGATTAATCCTTTGTTTTTCTTGCAATCTAATATTGTAAAAAACAGTTATCTAGCACCCTCTATCTTATGGAGTATTAGTAATTTGCATACAATATTCATTCAGTAAAAGTTATTTTTTTGTAGTATGGTAAGGTGACCAGATGTCTCACTTTTGGCGGGACAGTCCCGATTTTTAACAATTTGTCCTGAGTCCTGCGGCGTTTTAAAAAAGTCCCGATTTTTGGAAAGAAAATGCTCTATCCACTGAGCACACCAGCTAGAGTGTCACAATTCCTTTAAATCAAATAAGTACTTGGATCTTGTTGAGTACTGGTTGCTGTTTTATGCCATTCTAAAAATAAAAATGAGTTAGGTTTAATTTTTCCCAATAGTTCTCATTAGTAATATATACTATTTACTCATTACCCACCATGTGCCAGGCATCCTGTTAGACTTTTCAAGTTTGTTAGCTTAACCTACTAATTTTAAGTGTACTTCTTATTGTTTTCATTCTACAAATGAAGCAAACTCAGCTGGATTTAGTGACTTGCCCAAGATCCGAAGCTTTTATTTTGCTCTAAAAGACTAAGTACTAAAACTGCAGATACTTTCTTGGGAAGCATGTATTACAATAATGAGGCAACCAGTGAAGCAAGAGCTGTAACTTAAATGTGTCAGGATTCTCTTTTTTTTAAGGGGCAGTGTCCCCAAATGACTTAATGCTGAGCATACAGAACATTCTATATGCACATGTAGTCCCCAGGAAGTTAGCTTTGCAGAACTTATACTTACGATTATATACTGAACTGACTAATTTAGGACACTCAAGGAATACGGATGTTAAGACAACTTAATGGAGAGTGGGGGATATAGTAGAACTACAAAAATACATGTAATTAATTCAGTCATTTAGAGTCCAAATGGATTATAAAGATCCAAAGTGTAGGAAGCAGCAACTTTACATGTTAAGAATTTGAGAGAAGTAGGTCTTATACTACTTATTCATGGACCTAATTATCAGTTCACTAAACAGATATTTACAGGGTTCCCACTGATGTGCCTGGCAACAGGATAGGTGCTAGGGATGCAATAGTGAGTATAACAAAATCGTGTCCTCATGGAGCAGAAGCAGACAGTAAACAATAAGTATGACAGTCTTGGTTAATGCCCTCATCTTTTGGGGGGTAGGGGTGTCAGTAGATGGAGTGATCCAGGATCCTCTCCTGGAATCAGGCAGTTGGGAATCTGTGTCTGTGGAAGACCAACTTCAGTTATTCTCCTCAGTCAGTACCCCTAATCCCCGCATTATTGAAGTCAGCGGTTAGTATTATTCACTGCTGCTATCCCCAGAACCTAGAACAATGTTTGGCAAATGTTAAGTGCCCACATATTTGTTCTATGAATAGATGAGTAAATGGATGAACCGATAAATGACAACTCTTTACTTCATAGAACATACTTCTGTGTTTCCTATTCTATTTAATCACTTCCATCCTTTAAATCTTTTTTCTTGCTCTTTGATAGTCGAACATGAGGTCTATGTACTCTTCCTGGGATTAGATCCAGCCTGTCTTTCCTTGCCTCAGACTGTGCTGCCCTTTCAGGGCTTTCTGTGTTTACTGGTGAAAGGGCTTTAGCAAATTCTGATGCTCTGATTGTTCTTGGTAATTCTGCTCCCAATTGAGGTTCATGTTTCTCCCAGGAAGTCTTGGACAGTAGTACTTAAATGTTCATAATAGACGACTGTAACTTCCACTTTATTTTACCTAATAATTTTGCATGTTTTTCACTTATTCTATTAGTCTTACATGCTTCTGTTTTCCTGTGATGTGAGATTCTCTCTGATCACAGTTTACGAGGAATTGGAGGAGTAATGGGAAGGTGGAGACTTAATCATGTGAGAGCCTGCAGCCTTTGCAGCTTCTCTCTGTTGCCTGGATCTGGTCTCCGAGATTAGACCAGCTCTCTGCTGCTTCCATTCTTTCTGAGATATGGACGTGGAGAGAAAGTGTGAAGCTGAAGGTCAAAGATGGCTATATTAATAGAAATGTAGATTCTGAATACAGATTGAAAATATGTCCCCACAGATAAAGCAAATAAACTATCTTAGTTGAAATTTAGATAGTATCTCTATTTTTAAGAGGAGAAAATTGAAGCACATTAGACAGAAGGTCATAGACTGTGTTGGATGGAGACTGTGTAGGTTTTATATTTCTGGTAAGTAAGTATTCAATTTTTCACCAGAATATTAGATTTTCATTTGAAGTTCATTTGCAGTGGAATGAGATCATCTAAGATGATAACATTAGGAATCATGAGTTAATGTAGAAACATTGCCAAGAGTATACAAAAAAAAAAAAAAAGCCATTAAGTGATGTTAAAAATAAAATCTTCTTATTCTCTTTTGTTATCTGAGTGGTGGTAGGAGCAGAATTATTGCTTTGAGTGATCATGCAGTTAGTAGGTTATCTAAGAATCAAAGAGAGGCACTTCATTGTGTAGCTAATTGATTGGCAGTGTGGGTGGCTTCAGTCCATTAGATTATGGTGGCCACTCTTAACCTCCCAGAGGGTGCTTACAATTACTTAATAGTTTTAGGGCTCACTGATGACATTTACTGCCTAATAGAAGATCAGAGATGAGAGGCACAGTGGAATTCACACTCTAATACCCAATTTTAAGGTGAAAAGCTCAGTTTCAATGTAGTTTCCACCTGAACTAATATTGAAACCCTGCCTTTCTCACAGTGTTGTTGTGAAGATTCAATGATTTTTGTGTGAAAGCAGGTTGTAAACTATAAAGTGCTCTTACACATATAAGGCAAAGCATTTAAAAACTCAGTTTAATACTTAAAATATATTACGGGCACTTTTGCAAATAAATAATTTATTTTATGCATTACTTTAATGGTATTTATTTATTAATAGCTACTGTTGTCTCTTCTTCTAGAAATTAATATATAATACTACATATTATTTCATTCTAGGGGGCTCGGGTTGGAAGAATAGATGCTTTCGTTCAGAGCTTGGACAAAAATTTTATGGTTCCAGTAGGTGGCGCTATAATTGCTGGCTTTAATGATCTCTTCATTCAGGAAATCAGCAAGATGTATCCAGGTAAATAAATTAGTTGCTCTTCAGAAAAAGTACACCTAATAAACAAAAATCCATTTGTACATAGACTACTATAATAAATCTGAATTTCCAAAGCTTTTTTACTCTCCTGAGTGTGACTTGTTCTTATTTCAGGAAGAGCTTCAGCTTCACCTTCTTTAGATGTCCTTATTACTTTATTATCACTTGGATCAAATGGCTATAAGAAGCTATTAAAAGAAAGAAAGGTAAGCTGTTCCTTTTAGCTATAAAATAATCCTCCTGACTAGGACTGCACTCTAAATCATTGGTGTTTTTGCCTATTGGTTTGTCACTTTGGACAATAGATATCTAGTACAGTCCTACAGGATATACTTGATCTGGAACTACAATAGGTCGTTTGCAATTAGTCATTGTCATCCTGTTTATCTAGATACTTTGAGGAGTCTTGGACAGGTGATTTTGCTTTTTCTGTTTATCTTGAGAAACTCCTACATCAGGGATTCTTATTAGTTCAGTAAAATTCAATTCATTTATCATTTAGATAGAGGTTCTTGAAAGACAAATGGTAAGGGCTTTTCTTTTTTCTTTTTGGAAGCCTGGAGACTTGTTTAGGCATGAGACATCAGTCAAAGGAGGAAGAACCGGGTCAGAAGTTGGCCAGTTTTTCATTCTAAAATAATAAATTTATCCCTGCTGTTATTATTGGAATGTTGAACTCATTGGTTATATTGACTTTGAAAAGAAAAGTGACATTTGTGCTTGAAAACTGGGCTTTGTCTCTGACACTTAACAACTAGCTTAATTCAGGACAGCTCTAAAACTGTAGACAGAGACAGTATTGGCAGGGTGAGTCAGACTAAGATGATTCAGTCATTTCTCTTCTGGGAGAACTAGAGGTCTCTGGTGCAATGTTGGTGTCTGTATAACTTTTTAGTATTGAGTAGCAATTATAGCACCTTGGATTTTCTAATAATACTTTACATATTTTTAAATATTTTTATCTATATTATCAGGTAGATCCTCTCAACAGCTTTATGAATATGACTAAGTTATAAAGTTTTTGTGCCCTATTTTACCCTAGTTCCCCTACCCCACTTATTCATTCTGTAGGAAAGTAATTATTTACTTGTGAGGATATCTCTTAAAATTTACATGAATAGGAAAAGATGCTAAGTATCATTAGTCATTAGGGAAATGCAAATTAAATCCACAGTGAGATACCACTATGTACACACCTATTAAAAGGGCTACTATTAAAAACAACTATAGCTACCTGACACTATTAAATCTTGGCTGAGATCTCATATAAGTAGAACTCAGACATTGCTATGGTACAGCAACTTTGGAAAACACTTCGGCAGTTTCTTATAAAGTTTAACGTTCACATGTAAACTAACCATCCTACCTCTTACTACTTAAGAGAAATGAGAATTTATGTCTGTATAAAAATATAGACATCAATGTTTATAATGATTTTATTCTTAATTGCCAAAACCTGGAAATAACTCAAATGTCCATCATCTTGTGTATAAACAAACTATGGTACATACATACACAGCAATAAAAAGGAACAGGCTTACTAATATATTCAACAGCATAATGATTCTCAAATGCTGCACTCTGCTAAATGAAATAAATCAAACTCAAAAGTTCTGCATTTTTAAAAATCTTAAATTTTTTTTTTAAAAAGCTCTTCATATTTTTTATATGGTTTCATTTATATGCCATGCTGGAAAGGCAAAAAACATCAGGACAGAAAAAAGATGAATGGATACCAGTGACTTGGGTTGGGGGAAGGAACTACTGTGACAAATTGTAGAAGTAGTTTCATGACTGTTAGTATGTTTCCAAAATTAATAGAAGTGGACATCTGAAAAGTGGACATTTGAAATTTTACTGTATGTAAATTAATCCTTGATAAACCTGAGGAAAAATTTTTTAAATGATTCGAATAGAACTCCAGTTTGATAAATGCCATAAAATAATCATCATGACCATATATTGTAATAGCCAAGAGAAGACCTCAAAATCTTCAAGGAACCTTCTCAAAGGACAGATGAAGCTTTTGTTTGTAGGTGAGGTAAACTGTCACCTCAAAGTTTAGTTGTATCAGAAACCAGTGGGTCTTAGCTCTTTCCTAAATAGTTTTTTCACTATGAAAAAGGTACTTGAATTCTCAGATTTTATTTTCTTGTTTGTGAAAGAATCACCACTCTCACACCACTTCTGGTTTTAAAAGACTGTAAATATTTCTTAAAATAAAATAGTTATTTCCTGGGCCATGCCATTATAATCATGGTAATTGGCATATAATTTAGTAATTGAGTACAAATCACGTTGGTAATTTATAAATCAAACATTTTGTAAGGTTGAACAATTTAAGATGATGGTCTCTTCAATTTCATGGTACCTCATACCCATTTCTACCCCTATCAGGTGTGAAGATGCACTCTTTATAACACTCAGAACAAAATTCTTTCTTTTTCTTTTAATATATTTTATTGATTTTTCACATAGAAGAAAGGAGAGGGATAGAGAGTTAGAAACATTGATGAAAGAGAAACATTGATCAGCTTCCTCCTGCACACCCCATACTATGGATGTGCCTGCAACCAAGGCACATGCCCTTGACCAGAATCAAACTTGAGAACCTTCGGTTCACAGGCCGATGCTCTGTCCAATGAGCCAGACTGGTTAGGGTTGTTCTTTTCTTTTGATTTAGATAGAGTAGAGTGAAATAAACAAAAAGAGAATAAGAATAGGATTATAGCTACCGGGTATTAGTGTGAGTTTATAGGGGTTCTGCTAGCTAAAGTTAGTTATTTTAACTTGAAACCTCTTTTAGGCTAAGGGAAATGTAGGTGGATGAGGAAAGCATTTTTATGAATGTATGCTGTATTCCAGAAACTCTGCTAGGTTTATTATATTCATTATTTCATATCACTCAGAGTAAGTTTCTGAGGTAGGCATTATGCCATTTTACAAATGGAATTGAGGCTCAGAAAAGTTAAGTACTTACTCAGGGATCACATGTAAGTGCCAGAACTGCCATTAAAACTCAGGTTAGTGTGGTGCTAATGTCTCTACTTGCTGTCTGATCACTCTGCTCTCACCGAGTCCAGTATCAGGGGAGTGCTTGCCTGCTCTGTACTAGGCACTTGAGCCATAAAAAAAAACGGTGATCTTGTGACTGCCCCTTTCTTATCTAGAGGAGGTATGTAAAATCCCAAAGGCTCTATTCTGTTTTACTTGGTTTTATTTTAAATTCTCCAATAGAGACTTAGAATACAGAGTATCTGCAGTAGTAGCCTTTTAGTATTAGAATGCTCATTTGAGAACTCTGTCATTGTAAGTGAATAAAATTGTTCTTTACAACTTCATTCAACAGGCAAGCTTTTTCATTGAAAAATGTCGATGTCCTTCATAAACCATAATTACATATATGTAGCATAAATATTGTTTTTTTATTGAATTTGTTGCAGAAGTAAGAGCTTCTATTGTTTAAATGGACTTGCTTTTGAACTGTGAAAATTTAATCGTGATAGTTTATTGGTTCAGCTCTGGAGAAGCTGAGGCAGAGCTATTTTGTTTCAGCCAGAGCTATTTATATACCATCACGGAGAGCTCCTTTTTATATTATCGGCGTTATTGCATACTAAAAAAAAGAGTGTTAAAAGAAAACTTGGAATTTTTTTATTCTGTGCCCTTATTCACCACAATAATATTTTTAGAGGGCATTTTATCTAGTATATCTTTTCAGAAAAGGCTTTATCTTTCTCACAGTAGAGGCAGACAAGAACTCAGCTTGAAGCCATTCCTTCTCAAGCTGTCTCTTTTGAAGGGTGAAAGGATCAGAGAAAGTGGAACTATGCCTGTGAATTGAGCCTCTTTGCCCTCAGCCCCTTCTGGACCATCACAGTTGCTTCATTGACGGGAGAAATGACCAGGAATTTAACTGAAACAGCCTTCAAGGGAAGGAGTTAAATTTAAGACTGTTTCTTTGAATTTCTCTAAGCAAACAGATAGATCAGTCTTACAAGTTTATCCTTACCTATTTTGCTGGAGAAGGCCATTATTCTTCGTAGCTTTCCTTTTAGAAGAGTGCTTTGTTGACAGGTCAGGCAGGTAATCATAGTTGCAAATATCTGCTGAATTGGACAAGTGCAGAAGAGGATGGCAGAGAATGGCTGCTCCAGGGGCTGGAATTTGTTGGTTGACACTTGGAGGACAAACCACATTATAAAAGAACATCAGACATCTAGACCAAACAATGTTCTATAGCAAAACTGGGTTTGGAAACATTAGAAGGTCTGCAGCCCTAAACATGGAGTCATTGAATCTCAACAGCATGTGACCTGTTCGTGGGCCACAACAGAAGAGTTTGAAAGCTGTACTTTAGCCTGGGATGCAAAGACTGCCGAGTGTGCCTGGATCCTTTAATTTGGCCACAATCATAGAGACACATTGCATTGTACCATTATCTTCAAATATGGACATCTTTGCATGGTTATCTACCTACAGCCCATTGTCTATCTACCCTTCCATGTTATCAATGAAAGATTAGACTATTTGTTTGTTTTCCTTTTGATGTATTACCCACCTTATGAGGCGTACTGTAGTAATATGCGAGGTTCTATTTATATCTTATGCTGAATATGAAACAGTATGTATTAAAAACATGATTACATAAAACGCTTTTCATTAAAATTTAGTGAATTATGCACAGCTTTGGGTTCTGGGGAGGGATGGGCTGAATGTTGTTGGGCTTCATGACTGCAAATCAGTTTACAAAAGGCCATAGGAAAGGTAATGCTTAATATAATTCAACTTCCCCTCCATTAACATCTTGAACTATGGTATAAAGTTTTGTATTTTTATTCTGAAAATATAGCTGACATTAGCATTCGGGTATACAGCTCAGTTTATCTGTAGTGAAGAGTCTTTTAAAATTAAGTTAAATACAGCAAAAATGACATAGAAAATCAATAATATTTCATTTCTTTTAAGTACAATCTCTCTATATATATTTGCTTGGGGTGCTAATAAATTTCCCCCTTTACAGAAGTATTTTATAATAAATGTCAGTTATAGATTTAAGTGTAGCAAAAAAAAAAAAAAAAAAAAAAAGGCAAGCAGGTTCTTTAGTGCCTTTAATATATCAGGGAAAAACTGCTTAGCTAAGTATTAGTGTAGGAAATAGTGGTACAGTCTCCTAAACGATCTATTTTAAAGGTAGTGATATTAATGGGAGAACATTTAGAACCTTAATGTGTGGAATATCCTAGGATTCAGTATATTGTGCTTTCAGATAATTTAAGCCTATTTGCTTATTGGATTACCTCATAACCCTTTACACAGACTAGAGATACTGTAAATATTTGCAGATGGATTTGAACTTGATTCATAATTTTTTCCCCCTGATTATTCCCATAGTAGTGATATCAGATTTAGTTACCTTAGTATTATGCTTACTGTTTAAAGATTTTTGTCCTAATGTTAGCTGCAGTCAAAACTGAATTTTAGTGGTATTAGCAAGTGATTGATAGAACTAATTTAGTTAAAACTGATGTGTTAAAGTGTTTTCCCAATTGAAAATGGGGAAAAAATCTCAGTTTTTTAATTAACATGTATGTAGTAATAAGTTTAAAAGCACCACTAGGGGTGTTACTAAGGAAACATTTCCTCTCTTTTTAGAAGTAGCTAACTACAAATTAAGTTGATTCTTGAACAATATGGGGATTAAGGGTGCCAACACCCTGTGCAATCAAAAACCCATGTATAACTTTTGATTCCCCTAAAACTTAACTACAGTGGGTCGTTGGTATCTGTGGGCGACTGGGTCTGTGGTGATTGGTTCTAGGACCCCTCCCCTCATGTCAAAATCAGCAGATGCCCACATCCCTACCTATATATATGGACATAGAGCAATGTATACAGTAGGCCCTCTATATCCACAGATTTCGAACCATGGATTGAAATACTTTTTTTGGCTTGTAGTTGGTTTAATTGTGAATGTGAACTTGTGATACAGAGGGCCGAATACATGTGTATTTATTAAATATACATGTGTATTTATTGAAAACAATTTGCATGTAAGTGGCTTTGTAGAGTTCAAATCTTTGTTGTTCAAGGGTCAGCTGTGCATAAGTGTGACCACATTAGTGATTATTGTGGCAGCCATAGTAGGTAGAATAATATTTTAAATTGGTGTTCAATTCTAAAATGTGTTTGTTTTTTGTTTCTATTGGGGGTGCGAAATGTAGGAGTCTGTGAAAGGTATTTCTGGACTTTCAGGCTTATTTCTGCTGAGAGTTTGATTTATAAGACAGTAAGAGAGACAGGTGCAGATTAAGACTTAGCCGTATAATAGAGATGAAAAAAATCAATAACTAAATTAAAATGTGACTTTTTAAAAAACTTGTGCTGAAAGATTGTGAATAGTTTCAGTTGTTGGAAAATTCTTAACTCCTTCTATTTTATTTTTTCACCTTCTGAAGTGAATATTGAAACTAGTTTAAGAAGGAGTGATCAGAAATTTTTATATGTCTAAGAAAAGATAGCTACTGCAAGTGTGGTGATGGCTAAGGGGAGGGGTCTAGCGAGGGTTGAGAGGAAGTGGGTGAAGGGGGGAGGGAATGAAAACATCTGTAACAGGGTCAACAATAAAAAGTAAGAAAAAAAAAAAAGATACCTACCACAACTTCGTTTTTCTGTTTCTGGTGATAACTTTTGTCTCCTTAAATATTTCTCTACATACTCAATAGATATGACAAATGTGGATGTTAACTTTTTAAATATAAAGAAGTCAATTTCTTTTCGTGATCTAAGATTTCATATTTCTTACATGCTGAGATTAATCTTATACCCTAAAAATTCAAGAACAACAATTAGCTAAAAAAAAATTTCAGGTCAGAATATAAAATAAATTGTGTCAATGTTGTTTTGTGGTCTTTAATAGATTCATTAATCCTATATAATAAAGAGGTAATATGCAAATTGACTGCCATGCCATCGCACAAGATGGCTACTCCCATGTGGTTACAAGATGGCCACCCCCATGTGGTCACAAGATGGTCACCACAAGATGGCTGGCAAGGGATGGCAGTTGGGAGCAAACAGGCCAGCAGGGGAGGGCAGTTAGGGGTGATTGGGCTGGCAGGGAAGGGCAGTTGGGGGGACTGGGCATGCAGGGAAGGGCAGTTAAGGATGACCAGGCTAGCAGGGGAGTGATTAGGGGACAATCAGGCTGGCAGGTTTGTCCTATCTAGTGGTTAGGGGCAATCAGGCAGTCAAGCAGGTGAGTGGTTGGTAATCAACAGTTCCAGATTGTGAGAGGGATGTCTGACTGCCAGTTCTTCAGGGATCAGGTCTAAACAGGCAGTTGGATATCCCCTGAGGGGTCCAAGATTGGAGAAGGTGCAAGCTGGGCTGAGGGACATCCTCCTCCCATGCCCCCTCCACACGAATTTTGTGCACCGAGCTTCTAGTAATTTATAGACTTGGTAGAAATTTTTCTCTTAATCTTTACCTAACCAAGGATGGAGTTAGTTGTCTATGTGGTTTAAACATAAAAAAAGTTATTCTGAGTCTCGGTGTGGGATCAGGCTCTGCAACCCTTACAGAAAATGGAAGCAGCTTTTGTGACCTTTGAAATTAGAGAAGTATCATTTCCTGCCATTTCCACATCAGGGTACTCTGCTGGCCTGGGGCTCTTAGTTGTATCTTTAGACTTTATAGGTTTTGACTTTGGCTGGAGGAGGTCAGTGCAAATGAGTTGTTCAGGAGCAGACTTTTGTGGACAGATTTTCATTTCAAGACTTTGGAAAGGGCTTACTAGGAGAAAAAAGTATAATTTTAGGTCAAACAGTTGCCAATTTAATATTTATATGTAACTTGGTTGAACTCCCACTTCTTACATGTGCACATGAAATTTTGTACTTATAAAATATTTTTACTTTATTTTCTACTATTACCATGTTTCCCCGAAAATAAGACATCCCCTGAAAATAAGATCTTGCGCATCTTTAGGAGCAAAAATTAATGTAAGACACTGTCTTATTTTCGGGGAAACAGGGAGGCTATGCATTGTTCTCTAGAGTAGGATCATGAATATAATATTTAGTTTTTAGTTGCTCTATTTTTAAATTGAGTTTAGAGAATTGTTAATATTAAGTTTATATGATTTAAAAGAAATGCATTTTAAAACTACCTCTTCCTAAGTTACTTACATTCTAAAAGCTTGACACATTTTTCTTGGTGTTGAAGGAGTCAGAGTCCTTCCTTTCAAGGAGTTTTTCTATTCTAGTAAATTGTCATAAGCCGTATTTGTTTAAGCAAATACATGAGATAATTTCAGATTATGATAAATAATGGTGTTGGAATGAGATTGAGCATTGAGAATGGACCGAGTTGTTGAGCAACTTTTATGGGGAAGTAATAAAGGAAGGTCTCCTTAGTCTGTGTCTAAAGGGACCACTCATGGAATGACTGGAGAAGAGCTTCTGAGTCCAGGGGAAGCAGGCATGAAGGTGTGACACTAGAATGAGCTTGGCATGTTCAGCTGTTGGAAAGAAGGCCGATGTGGCCGGCACAGTAGTAAGTGGCACAGTAGTAAGTTGCTGAGTTGTGCTTGTGGGCTGAGCCAGATAGTTCAGGGCCTTCTGGGTGAAGAATTTGTATTTTTATACTTACAGGAGGTAGTCATTGGAAGGAACATGGTCTGAGTTATGCTTCTGAAAGACCATTCTGTGTGTAGAACAGATTGTCCAGGGGCTGGAAAGGCGGCAGGGAAATCATTTAGAATGTACTGTTGTGGTCCAGGGCAGAGATCGACAGCTACTTGGACTAGAGCAGGAGCTCTGGAGGTTCTGAAAAGAGGATGAAATTGTGACGGCTACATGATAGCCCCAAAGCAGGAAATGTGCTGGTTCATCGTCTTCTTTACCTAAATCCTGTGGTTTCTGATAATTGTGGCAGCTTTGAATTTCACTATAATGCAGCAAAGTGAAGAATTGCTCCTAGGGCACATGAATGAGTTTAATTTAATTTATATCACAAACTTGACACCAGTCAGATTTTGTCTTATTAAATTTGGCAAGTTTCAATACATACTTATTTGATTTTCAACTGTAACATTTTCTTATTGCAGGAAATGTTTTCATATTTGTCCATCCAACTAAAGAAGCTGGCAGAAGCCTACGATGAAAGACTGTTGCATACACCTCACAATCCCATATCTTTAGGTAATTTTCTTCCTTTAAAAGGAAAATCAGCACTTCTGAACCATCCCCAGCAGGAAACTGGTATTTCTCAAATGAGTATGAATTCCTTCTGGTTCCAATGATATTTCTAAATTTATTACAGTATTAATTTGTAAATTGAAAAGGTTTAGTTAGCCTTTGGAAATGCTTTAATGTGTTTCTAAGATTTAAAAAACCCCCACTATATTCTGAAAGAATCCAAGTCAATATTAAGAATTATGGCTAATAGAAAATAATACTTTAATTCCTGCTTCTAATGAAAATCATTTGGCCGCTAGTAAGGACTCGATTATAAATATTAAAAAATATTTGTCAGTTAACAAACACCATAATATTAGAAATTAAAGCTATTCTTACATTGTTTTATTGCTATTATTGTTTGTTTTCTAGAGCATCTCTGTGTTAGAGAATTCTGCATTTATGATAATTTCCTTTGTATAGGGGCTATGATTTTTGTCATAGACAAGAACTGCTGAACGGCATATATAAATGTTGACTTTTATGCATTTAAGTAACTTTTAAGCTTCATTATATTCCTTTTACTTTGTGAATATGTGCAGTGTAATATGCTTCATATTTCAGGCATATCTGAGGAAAGTTAGTAAATAGTCTTTTGTAACTTAAACCTTTTTCAGGAGTGGCTTCCATGAAGAACTTTTTGGCCCAGCCAGTCCTTTGCTGGTTTATAATTTATGTAGATGCTATAAAAGGTGATGTGGTATAATTTGAATCCCAATTCTGCCTTGTACTAGCCCCTAACTTGCTTTCCCCATCTATAAAATAGAGATAATAATCCTCACATGCAGAATTAATTAATGAACTAGAGGCCATTGCACGATATTCATGCAATAATAGACCTTCCTTCCCCTGGCTTTGCTCCAGCCACCCAGGAGCCTGAAAGTTCTTGCTCCCGGCCAGAGCACTGCTTCTGTAGCTCCCTCTATCTCCCCCTCTCTCATAGCAGGCATTCCGCCCCTTCAGCCTCTCCATGCCTGCATATGCAAATTAACCTACCATCTTTGTTGGGTTAATTTGCATACTCCTGATTGGCTGTGAGTGTAGTGGAGGTACAGTCAGTTTACATATCTGTCTATTATTAGGTAAGACTAGAGGCCTGGTGCACAAAATTCATGCACAGGGGTGTGTGTCCCTCAGCCCAGCCTGCACCCACTCTAATCTGGGGCCCCTAGAGGGATGTCGACCACCTGTTTAGGCTCGATCCTACCAGGATTGGGCCTAAACGGGCAGTCAGACATCCCTCTCACAATCCAGGACTGCTGGCTCCCAACTGCTGGCTCGCCACTTTCCTGATTACCCCTAACTGCTTCTGCCTGCTAGCCTGATCACCCCCTAACCACTTCCCTGCCAGCCCTAACTGGTTTGGACAGCCCTATCTAGTTTGACTAAGAGGATGGAGCATTGGCCTGCAGACTCAAGGGTTCCAGGTTCGATTATGGTTAAGGGCATGTACCTTGGTTGGGGACACATACCCAGTGGGGAGTGTGCAGGAGGCAGCTAATTGATGTTAATCTCTCTCATAGATGTTTCTAGCTCTCTATCCTTTTCCCTTCCTCTCTGTAAAAAAATCAATAAAATTTATTTTTAAATAAAGAAACATTTAAGCTTCCTCCATATATGCCTGGCTGGTGTGACTCAGTGGTTGAGATCCTCAGTGGAGAGGATTGTGCCATGAGGGTGTGTGCCCCTGCCAGGCTGAGACCCCAGCCCAGGCTGCCGCTGCTGGGAGGGAATCTGCCCATGGAGAATGAATTTGTTTTTGTTTTTTATAAAGGGTCAGGAGGGCCTCTGGGCAACATTCCACCAGGCTGCTTACTCTGCAGGCTCTCAGTGGCAGCCCTCCCTGAGACTGGGGGATTCCAACAGGGCTGAGAGGACTGGACACTGCCGTTTTGTGGCTATGGGCGCCGCCATTTTTGTCATAGAGTGATGGTTAATTTGCATATTACTCTTTTATTAGATAATATAGTTAAGATTATGTTTGTAAACTACCCAGTATGGTTAAGTTCGTCCTTAGGAAATGGTACCTAGTTATCAGTGATTGGTGGTATGCATAGAGTTTACTCACCTAATCTTAGAAAGATAATTTTCATTTTTATATGTAGAAGTTGATCTTATTTAGTGTTTTATGTTTGCTGAAATATAACCCACTTTCTCATTTTACAAGTTCTTAAAATATGGTTGAATTTGACTAAACTGCCATATTGATCATGTCATAGTTTCATCTGTTTAATTGGAAAATTCACTCTTTAGAGAGGTAATATGGAAATTCTGTCTGATTCTGAGTATGTTAATTTATATTAATGTATTTTTGTCTGATATGCAAGAAAAACCTTATTATAATTTATTAAGTGCATGCCAATCATGCCACTTAACAACGAATACAAAGTAATGTCTCTGTGAAGTAAACTAGTTACAAAGAGACCAATACTGAGTGATTTCATTTATATGAGTTACTTAGAGCAATTAAAATCATAGAGACAGGAAGTATAATGGTGGTTGCAGCAGCTCAGGGAAGGGAGAATTGGGAGTTATTTTGTAATAGTATACCATTTCAGTTTTACAAAGTGGTAAGAATTGTAGGATGAATGGGTGGTTGTTGCACAACAATGCGAATGTATTTAACAATACTGAACATACCCTAAAAATGCTAAGATGGTGAATTTCATATTATGTGTATTTTAACACACACAAAAGTAATGTTTTCATTATTAAGTGTTTTTTGAGTGATTTTTTTTTTTTAATTTATTTATTTTTTTTTTTTTGCTCATGAATCAAGGCTCACTGGGGTGCTTTTTTCTTTTTCAGCTGTGACACTTAAGACACTGGATGAGCATCGTGACAAAGCTGTCACTCAACTTGGCTCAATGCTTTTTACCAGACAGGTTTCTGGAGCCAGGTAATTATATTTAAAAGCTTGGTTTGATTTGGCTTTTTAAAGTTATTTGGCTAATAAAGTATCTTTCTTTAACAATAGTCCTCCAAGTATATGCTGAACTACCCCTAAGAATTCATTGTGGAATAAATGTTGAGGTCGAGAGTCATAAGTCTATTATATGCTCACCTGTGGACTGCCTACACTTCAAATAGACACAGAAATATATGAATCTCGTTTATTTTAATAGACATACAGAAACAAAAGTTCATTATCTCTTTATGTTTGTGTTTATTTTCTTTTGTTAGATAATCTTCAGTGATGTCACTTAATGGTGTTATAAATGTCATCTTCATTACTAAATTTAAGTGAAAGTGTTTTTAAAGAAAAGCCCATTTTCTAAACTAAAAAGGTTATGCAGTTCTTGCCTAAGTACTCTCTTTGAAAAATGTACATTTTGCTCCTTTATGTACCTGGTTTAAAAATTAATTTCATTTTTAATTTGATGATGTCAAAGAAGAATGACTTGAAAAGAAATACCTTGGTTTAAGTATTCCTGTTTACATTCTTCTATTACTTTCCTCTGACTATCAGAGGTTAGAGATTTCACATCAAAGGACAACTTTTAAAAGAAAAAAATTTTAGATGAATTCAGCTTTTACCATGATATAACACAGCATAGTTAGATACTTCTGAAGTGGTTTTCTTAGTTTTGCTTTTAGTGTTGCCATGATTGTTTAAGTTTATCTTTTTTAAAAAATATATTTTACTGATTTTCCACAGAGAGGAAGGGAGAGGGATAGAGAGCTAGAAATGTCGATGAGAGAGAAACATCAACCAGCTGCCTCCTGCACACCCTCCTCCTGGGATGTGCCTGCAACCAATGTACATGCCCTTGACCGGAATAGAACCTAGGACCTTTCAGTCCACAGACTGATGCTCTATCCATTGAGCTAAACTGGCTTTGGCTGTTTAAGTTAATCTTAATTGACTTCTTTGAGAAATAAAGGACTGTTAGAAATCTGCTTATATCAAGTGTGCCAATGAAATCAAGCTTAAAAAAATGCATGTGCCATTACTGATTGCTGCCCCACTGTAAGCAGTTACATAATTTCTTTTGGATCCTTGCTTTAAAATCCTTATTGCATAGCACTGATCAGATAGGTGTAATTTTAGTTTGTTGATTATTTGAGGTGACAGATGGCTGTTAATCAAAGTGATTTTGACAAACTAGTTCCACCATTCCGTTAAAGTTCTTATATGTGAAATCAGATTCCATATTTGCTACAAAAACAATTTTAACTCTTTGAAGAAGATGTACAGGTGTCTGCAATTCCTAGAGCTTCTACCTCTTTAATAAGAGATAAGTAAATACCCTATTTCCCCGAAAATAAGACAGTGTCTTATATTAATTTTTGCTCCCAAAGATGCGCTAGGTCTTATTTTCAGGGGATGTCTTATTTTTCCATGAAGAAGAATACAGTACACATTTATTGTTAAATGAAAATAAAGGAAATTTATTACCTGTATACGGTAATAACAAACCAGACAAACTGTGAATCCTACAGTTTCAAGAATTTAGCCGAAACCGGTTTGGCTCAGTGGTAGAGCATCGGTCTGCGGACTGAAAGGTCCCAGGTTCGATTCCGGTCAGGAGCATGTACCTTGGTTGTGGGCACATTCCCGATAGAGGGTGTGCAAGAGGCAGCTGGTCGATGTTTCTCTCTCATCGACGTTTCTAGCTCTCTCTCTCCCTTCCTCTCTGTAAAATATCAATAAAATATATTTAAAAAAAAAGAACTTACTCATTTATTCAATGACAATCATGTCATCATCTTTTGGAACATCATCATAACAATCCAATTCCTGAATTTTTTGGTGAATTTCTTGTGACTCCATTTCTTTCAGAATCAGTGGACCAAATCTCTCATGTTTAGCAATAGCACTATCTTTAAATGAGTACTTCTTGTCAAGGTAGCCTGTTTGCAGTGCATTTGCAATGCAACTGTCAGTAACTTTCTCCCATGAATTCTTCACCCAAGTCACAACTTCTTGCAGTTTAGGTTTCACAAAGTTTCTGAGACAGAGCCTAGGGGGGCCTTATTTTCGGGGGATGCCTTATATTTCACTCAGAAGGAAACCTGTAAGTAGGTCTTATTTTCGGAGGATGTCTTATTTTCGGGGAAACACTGTAGTAATCTTTTTTCCATGTAAAATTGAGTGTGTTGTATACTGTTTAGCTTAAGGCTGACAGTCTTTCTTCATAGACCATGATTTATGGCTGTTTATAAATTTCTAAAGAAGTAGATGTAAGGCGTAGAAACATAGCTATCTTTTGTTTGTGGGTGATACTCTTAATATCACCAGATATATCAAATTGGTAATTTTGCTTTTTCATTTTAGAGTTGTGCCTCTTGGGGCTGTGCAAACTGTGAGTGGTTACACTTTCCAAGGCTTCATGTCACATACAAATGATTACTCTTGTGCCTACCTCAATGCTGCCTCAGCCATTGGAATGAAGACACAGGATGTGGACTTGTTTATAAAGAGACTGGACAAGTGTTTCAAGATAGTAAGAAAAGAACAAAATAGAGAGAGTGATGGATCTGGGGTTGACAATGACAACACTGAAGATGCGGTTACTGAAGAAATGGGCTTAAAACTAGAGAATGTATTTCTTGACAAGTTCGAGGATTCTTCATGACATGTGAAGAGTTTATTTTTGATAATTTGAAAGAAATGATGAGGTGACAGTATAAACAAGCAGTTTAAAAACAAGTCTTGAAATTTTTGAATTGAGAATGTCATGGAGAATGTATGGTCAAGGAATAGAATATGGCCTGATTTAGCCATTTATGATTGTTATACGTTTTATTCTTATATAGCCTCAAGCATTATGATCCTTAATGGATTATAGTACACAATTAGCATTTTTCTAATTGTGAAAGTATTTGTCAACTAAGCATTATGATTCAGATAATTCTTACTAATATAAGAGCAGTAAAATTACCACAATACTTTTTGAAATGTGTAGACTGTTTCTTCCTAACCATTCTCTACCGATCACAAATTACTTTTGTTTCTGATCACATAGAATTTAGAAAGATCTCTAATGCTACTAATTTCTAGATGTTTGTGGATATGTGCAAGGCACAGTATGCCTGTAAAATGGATACTTCCCAGAGAAACATAGTCAAGGGGTAAGCTTTAATTTTCTCTAAACAGCATTGGTTCTCAACTTGGGATAAGTTGCTTATTTCTAAGCAAATATCTGGGACCTTTTTGCTTATATTTGGGATATTTTGGTTGTTATGATTGGTGGGATGCTGTTGACATCTAACATCCTATAGTAGACAATTTTCAAAAACAAAGAATTATCCAATTCCTATTCTCAATAATGCTGAGATTGAGAAACATTGCTCTAAAGTAAACTAACTCCTCAAGGGAAGAGTTTTCCATAGAAACTTTAATTACTCAGTAGTGCTTCAAAGAAGATAGCTCTATAGTGTTATTTGTCTATATGGTATAGACTCTTGGGTAGTAACCAGCGTTACCTGTTCTAAATATGTAACTATAAATGGTTTTATATGGCACTTGTGCACCTTTCCATTTGGGTAAATGAAAACTTAATTCCACTGTTTTTGCTTTAAGCAGCCTTTGGGTTTTGGTTAGTGTGCCCAGGTGTTGTGCACAGCCATTAGAAAGAGTGTTAACTATGGGTATTTCTGAACATATATTGCTAGGGAAATGGAATGATGTAGGATGATAAACAGGTGTATCCTCCCTTCCCTGCCCACAGGTTCACTTTCTGAGCCTGAAATTCCAGACTTATTGGCTGTAACAATTATTAGTGTCATTTGAGAAATAGACTGATGTCTCATAGTTGGAGGAATTAGTGAAGCTTCTGAAAATACACCAAATGGTGAAGCTGTTTCTCAAGACCCACTTTGTGGGGTGTTGTTTCTAAGAGGTGCTCCTGGGGATAAAAGATCTCGTGGACAAATAATTTGGGGACTTTGCAGACCGGCTGATTGGCATATTAAAGGTTCTGAGAATTCCTTCGAAACCACTTGAATGTATCCTTATCTGAAGACTTACTGACATCCACTGAACATACTTTTGAAAACACTGCAGTAAAGAGTCTGCCTTGATTTCTGGGTGGTTTTTCTCTCTCTTGATTTGGCAATGTGCACTACTAAACATGAGCTTAGATAGATCCACTCTCATTAAAGTATAAGTTTGGGTACTTTAGAGACTGGCTTGACAACCTTGGAAGTCAAGACTATTGAAATAAGGTACTTAATTATAAATGTCATAAAGTACTTAATTATGAATTCATATATCTCGAGTTCAAATATTGTAAAGATCTGTTTTTAAAAAATAGCTTTAACAACTTATTTTAAAGGAGTAAATCCTGGATTAAAAAGTTGTGTAATGTTTTCTATGTTAATTTGGGACTGAACTGTAGAACTGTAAGCTGAAGTGTCTGCACACAACCTCTGGAATCTGCGAGAAGGAATGAAATGATGTTGCTGGTGTAAATGCTGGCAGTGAACTTGTCTCTGCATAAGCCAGAACTGCTTTACAGCGATATGTATTGTCGTTTAAGAGAGGCCAGAGCAGATAAACTAGTAAATATTGTTTCTTCTGCAGTTGTATCAGCAGCTCTTGGGCTTCAGTAGCTGAAAAGATAATCATTCTAATTGAAGATAAATTACATGAACCCACATGTAAATGGTAGATGTGTTATAACATTTCATACCTGGTGCATAAAATCAGCTACAGTGTTTATTATGAGCACTTTCTTTTCAGAGGTTTTGGAATTGTAGTTCTATTCCTGCTGGTTTAAATTTGACCTTGAGATCATAGAATTCCTAAGAATTTTTGAAGAGCTGTTGTTGGTTCTGTATATACAGGCTTTCCTTTATCCTACCCCAATGTTGTTTTCCTAGCTCTCTTCCATTTCCACGTGTAAGTGTAAGAAAGTATATACAAACAGTTGTTCATTTTAAATTGCTAGTACTAATTGGTAACCCTCCTAATTGGCCTTAGTTGTCCTGAAACTGTGGCAGGGGCCAAGGATGATGCCTTTCTGTCATTGACTAAGGTGTCCTGTCTGTTTTTGTGACCCAACTGCTCTTCCTCAGGCTGTCAGGTAGAGTTTTGGAGTTGGGTTTTTAAAATCACTGTGCTGTGGTAGTCTGCCCAGAAAAGAAAATTGAATAACAGAAAATATTCTTTAGGTCACTACACAGTGTGTTCTTATACACACAGAAGGGAAAGGTATTTTAAATCCAACTCTCAATTTGGCTCTTATGTTCTCAGTTGATGAATTCTCGCTCTATCAGGGAATGACATGTGATACCAGCCTTAGGAACTCAGTGTTTAGCTATAAATCTTTCTAGTTAGCTTTGTGTATTAGATGAATAAAGCTATAGAATGTGAATTATTGAATACAGTTTTGTTCAACCATTAGGCACTTGATATACAGAATGGTAAATTAAACTAAGTTTTTTTCAGTATTTTTCCCCAGCATTTAACACTACTGTGGCTCTGTTTCTTTCCCTCCCTCCCTCCCTCCCTCCCTCCCTCCCTCCCTCCCTCCCTCCCTCCCTCCCTCCCTCCCTCCCTCCCTCCCTCCCTCCCTCCCTCCCTCCCTCCCTTCCTTCCTTCCTTCCTTCCTTCCTTCCTTCCTTCCTTCCTTCCTTCCTTCCTTCCTTCCTTCCTTCCTTCCTTCCTTCCTTCCTTTCTTTCTTCTTAAATGGTCCTAATGGTTACTAAATTATAGCAGTGGTGAGATCCAATCCAGAGCTGAAAACTGGAAGGCAGGACAACCCAACCCATGTCAGGAACATCAGATTGAATCTGTATGCGAAGTCCTTCCCCAAATAATGAAATCTGGACACCCCCACAAGCTGAGGGCAAGCAAACATACCTAAGTCTGAGGATTCCTTCACCTCATCTTCATTGCACTGCAGAATATCTCCAGATAGCAAAGCAGTTGCTGGATCAATGGGATAAGCTTGGAGCAACAAGAACTTCCCGGGAGAAATCAGATCTTCCAAACCAAGCATGCTTGGCAACAATTGAGTAAGACTCTATAGCATCGAGTACTGACAGTGTAGCATCAACTATGGCACAGAAAATACCATCAGGTTTTGGACATACTGAGGAGCACAAATCACCATGCTCAAGATGCAAAGAAGCTTCTGACAGACCAATAAGCTTGTTATCCCTGAGTAACTGTTACAAGATAAGTCTGGCAGGGTCCTACCAATGCAGTCTTCTAGAAGGTACAGTAAGTGATAGCTCCTTGAATCCCGGTATTAGCATGATCAAGTTCTATGTTGTTGAGGCTGAACACTAGTAAGTGTGGCGAGTGGAAAATTAGACAACAAATTCTCTTGGGTAGTGCCACACAAATCTTCAGTAACTCTCTGAATACCTAGCATCACCCTTTGTGTGAATAATGATCTTACAAACATGACAGAAGTCTAAAATGACCTCAGAGTGAGTCTCCCGAGAGAGAACAAGTACTTCGGACACATACACTGCTATATAGAGTACAGACAAGTGCCAGTTGGGGCTTGTGAGCAAAGACCTCACGTTATGAGGAGCTTGACAAGGAGAGGTTGGGCAGAATTCTGTGGTTTTCTTTACCTCAGTGATGGTTGTCCTGATTGCGTCGAGAGGCTTCAGCATTCCTAGTAAGGAGTACAAGTCAGGCGCTTGCACACCTTGACTATCAACCCTAGTAATGTTTAGCCTCATTAGCCGGGTGACATCAGGACTTACTGTCACAGTCCCTACAAAAGTAACTTAGAAATCAGGACCTCCCTGACTAATATGCCTGGCTAAGCTATAACAGAAGTCAACTTGAACTTAAATATTAGTTAGAAGGTCTCATTGATATCAAGCAGATTATAAACGGCCTTAATGAACCACCTGAGGGTTGGAGAAGAGTTGGTGTGTAAGAGGCAACTCTGATATACCTGGCTACAGAAGAGACTGCCTCTATATTTTTGCCCCATGTACCAAAATGACACAAATGTAAGCAGTCCAGGGAGAGGGGCAATATGGCTTAGGGACAATCTTTCCAAGTGTTTAGGCAATTGACCAGAGTTAAGAAGAGTACCTAATTCTTTTATTTCTTGAGCAAATGATAAGATTTATTCTGCCAGCCTATAGGACACTGCAGTTGCTGTATCGCCTTGCCATGACCATGTATGAATTGTAGTCTCAGTTGGCAGTTTTGAGAAAAGAATCCCTGGATAAATAGGACTCTGACTTTAAGCCAAACCCCTCTCTAAGATCTCATGGGTACAGGAGTTGCATGACACTTCTTCTGGAGCTCATAACAGTGCATTATTGAGACAAGGAGGTTGAAACCATGTATGAATGCTGCTTGAAAATGTAGCACATAGTCACATTGCAATTTGGTCAAGTCTGCCATGTAGTCATTAGGGAACATGATATGGGTTGAAAGGATGTTTAAGGACCCAGTGAGTCCAGATTGGTCATCTGAAGCTGTTGGCAGCCAGTGGGTCAGCATTCTATCCAACACTAGGAACATCAGGTGGAATCACATCCTTTTCCTCAAGCAGGCGAGATAATAATTGCTTCAGGTTTGGGCCAACAGATCCACAGAGCTTAATCCAGTCACATGCGGTTGTGAGGTCTTCAGCCATCTTGCCTATCTTTCCC